TGGAAGGGGTTTGACAGACATATAACAACAATAGCAGACTGTTCAGTGAGGGTGACAGTGTCAGATGCACAAATGGATGGGTGGTGAATGGATGGAAGATGAAAGAGTAGCTAAGTGGACAGATGGGTGTAGACAGTTGGGTAGATGGAGACTTGATGGATGAGCAGAAAAGTAGATGAGTGGGTAGATGGCTGGATAGTACATGGATATTAGATAATGGGTGGATGAATGAATGATGAATAAGCAAACATGGATAAATGGGTGGGGAGATGGTGGGTGATGGATGGTTGAGGAATAGGTGGATAGGTGGATGGATGGATAGATGGATGGATGGATGTACCAATGAATGATGGATGAGCAGACGTAAATGAATGGATAGACAGATAATGAAATAGAAGATTTTTGGATGATACGTTAATAGTTACAGATGATGAATGGATGGATGATAGATGTTTGGATGATAGATGATAGATGGGTAATGGATGGCACTTGGATGATGAAAGATGACTAAGATAAGCAAGCAGATAGATGAATGGATGAGTGTATGTGTTGTGTGGTTGGATGGACAGACAGATCTATAGGTAGATAGAAGAGTGTATAGTGTATGTGATGAGTGAATCAATGAGCAGATAGATGGGTAGGTCACCAGGTTAGTAGATGGCCAACACTGTCTGTGAACACCTGGTTCACACTTGCAATTGATGCCTTTCTTCTTCTGAGCCCATGGCAAACACACAAGGGGTCAGGGCCTTTCTCCTTATGTTGCCTTCTGACTTGGTACCCAGGCCATTGCGGATGCTCTTCCGCACAGTGCTATCTCCAGGGCATGAACTTTATTTAGTAGGCACTCCACAAATTCAAAGAAAGAGACAAAGCCAGTCACCTCTGATGCTGCAGCCATTGGCGGGCACATGAGCAACCAGCCTTTGGCATGACTTCTGTTGAGTGTTCCTTCCCCTTGGCTCCTTTCCCAACCTGCTTTGTTGGCTTCTCATAAGGCTTGCCAAGGAGCACAGCGATTGGGAGACAGAAAGTGAAGAGCAGAAGCACAGGCAGGCATTTCTTCCTTCCCTCTCTGCCTTGTGTGAATTCTCAGGCACTGCTTCCAAATCCCAGGGTGACTGTCTCCTTTTTCATCCCTGTAGGCTTCCTCATAGTCTAGGGTTCCTGGTGGCCCCAGCCTGTCCCCTGAAGCTTCCTGACTCCATCCCAGACTCCAGAGTGAACACCTCCTCCCTGGGTCTAGCTGGTTAAGCCACATATACCATGAGGTACCATTTCAGCCATCATTATATTCACACTTATGTAGCCCTCACTACACATTTCCCTGACAGAACTTGTGGCCTCATTAAACACCAGCTTCATACCTGCCAGGTCCTGTCAGCCTCTACTCCTCTTTCTATCCTGGGACTCATGTCTTTCTGAGATGTGTCATAGACAGTGACCCCACACAATTTCCTGTGCCTGACTTGTTTCACCAAGCAGATCCTCCAGGAGTCAATATGCAAATGACCCCTAGCCTTACTGTGGAAACATCAGTACCAGCCCTACCCAGACTTGTAGGGAATGGGGTGAGTAAGCCTCAGAAGAGGTCTGGTAGATATGGATGCTGTCAGGTCACTGAGAGATGAGGTAAGAGAGGACACCGAAGGCATACAGAGGTTAGCACAGGGTCAGATGCTGGGCATGGTAACACACATAACTATCCTTTATAAAGCTTTTAAAGGACTTACAATGACATTCTGATCCCATTTATCAAATAAGAAGTTAGGCCTGTCAGCCCATTGTGCCACTTAATGTCAGCAAATAAAATCCAATTAGTAGGAAAGGCTCAGAAGTCCTTGACCAGAACAGGAGCTAAGGGCCTGGCTTCCTCACCATGAGAGAAGCTGCCTAGCAGAGTGTGACCTTGTGAGCGGATGGCAAAGTGGCCAAGCTACAGTGGAGCCTGACACAGAGCTGACATAGTATATAGGGACCGGGCAGCCAAAGCAGAAGCTGTAGGAAACGGGCATGGAAGAGCTGGGGGTCCCTTCAGCAGGGGTACCTTCCAAATACCCACGAGGGCAGGGATTCCCATGAAGAGGGACAGGTAGGTGGCTGGCTGCAGAATGTCCAAGGCTTCAGCGAGGCTCTGGCATGCTCAGGTTTGCTTGTATAATTGCTACTAAAACAGAGATGGGAGCCTCGGGAGTTTGTGCAGGCTTCAGCAAGCACAAACCTGTCTAGCCTTAGAGGACTGGGAGAAAGGTATGTGGGATGTTCCTGTAGGAGAATGTGTCGGGGGCTGCAGGTGGGTGTATCCTAATAGTCTCTTAGCACATCTTTGGATGTTCACAGAGCAAGGGTTCTCTCTCCTACCACAGGTTATGTCTGCCCTCCCAGCAGAGGGCACAACCAAACTTTCTGTTTCATGCCTGTGCAGAGATGGCGTGCAGGAAGAGAGCCCCCTAGTGTCTGTCGTTAGACTCCACGCTGCTCCTCTCGTGGGTTCCCAGAATCCTTCTGCAGGAAGCCACAGCCCCAAATCCTCAAGCTTCATTGTGGCCTGCTTCTTAGGAATCCCAGACTACAGAACACATGCCTGTCCCCAGTGGTAGGACTGAGTCAATTCAGTATTCGGGGCAACTGCCTGCCCTGATTCAGCGATCACAAGGAACACAGGTAAGAGGAGCTGTAATGGCTGAGAAGTACACAGTGAATTTAGTACCACTGCAGACGGCAGTGGGGACACAGTTCTATTGGGTGATGTTTCTATCGAATTCCATGGAAGGACTTTTATTCATGTATGTACCTGCAGAACTCAACTTCTGTCTTTTCTACCTCCTTTCCTTTGTGAGATGTGGACAAAGCTGTCTCTCAGGGGCAGCTCCCTTCAGCCGGGCAAGGTCTTCCATGGGCCGGTGCTGGGCTAGGGGTACAGATGCAGGATGGTGCTAAAGACTGAGGCTATGATCTCAGTGATGCAAGAACATGATGCAGCCAGGGCGCTGGACAGGAGGTTGCATGCTTAGTGGGAGGATAACCCTGGCCTAGGAGTGCTACTGTCAACTCCACCCAGAAGGTTCAGCATCCATACTGAGCCTCAGGACCTTGGCATAACCCCTATCCCCACCATACAGGAGGTCCCATGGCTTTCCAGCCTGAGGATGCTCCCCCTAAGAGGCACCACATCCTGATTTACCTCCCTCCCCTGAGGCCTAAGCCTCTCTGCCATTAAACGCAAGATAAAGGGTAAGGAGAACTGGGGGTTACATCTTTGGATTGACAGCTGGCTCTGTCAATCAACAGGCAGCCCTGAATTCCCTACTTAAAAACCTATTGTCCCACGACCAAGGACAGCATGACATTCAGTGGGGATGCAAGGAATGCTCTGGTGGGGCTAGTGGCAGGCAAGGACGAGCAGGCAAAGGGCCATCATGTAAATGAGCTGGAGCCAGGACTAACAGCAGTCCACTCCAAAGCCACAGCTCCACCATCTCTCAAAACACACACGCCACAGGTACCACCTCACTAAGCTCAGGGTGTCCCTTCACTAATGGCCAGGGTTACAAGAGGAAGATCCCAGCTCCAGTCCCCAGACTTGGAGGCTGCCTCCCCCCAGGGTCCTCTTCTAACTAACCTCAGACTCAATCTTAATGAAGGTGAGGGCAGCCATCATTGCCCCATGCCTCACCCGGCTACCCAGGTCCTGTCTATCTGGTCATGGAGGACCTGTGCTGCTTCCTAATGGGCTCTGACTTCCACCTAGGTAACTGGGCAGCAGACTCCTCTTCTACCCACTCACCCAGTTAAATCCAGCAACTTGCCCACCCATTGCTCATCATCCTTCATCCACAGGACAAAGGCTGTGGCCTCCTGTTGTGAATGTGGTTGTGTGGCGACAACATACAGGGCTGTGACGGGGTGCTTCTGCTCTTCCACCAAGCAGCAAGTACTGGTTGGGAGGAGGGATGTCCTACTCAGGCCCTCATTAGTAGGAGCAACTAGATGCTTGCAGGACTGTCTTCCCTGGACACCTGCAAAGGGCCAGGCAGGACTCAGGTGACCATGCCCCAGAAGAGGGAACTATACACCTTGGAAATAACCTCTGCCTCTCACTAGACAAGAAGCCACTATGGACATCAGCTCCTTGTGCCCAGCTAGAGGCAATGAAGGAGCAGTCTGGCCCTGCTGAGAACACCTGATTTGCCAGTCTCTTGGAAGCAGGGGGCTAGAGCTGACAAATTAATCTCCTCCCAGGAAGTGAGGTGACATGGAAAGATTCTCACAAATACACAGGGAGAAAAGGCTGTGCTGGGGGCAAAGGAAAAGCCAGGGAATTCTGACCCTGGTGTCCAAGAGCCTGGCTCATGGTAAGAAGCAGGAAGGAGCCAGGCATGGCAGCACATGCATAGGATCCTAGGACACAGGAGGCTGAAGCAGGACTGCCAGTTCTAGGTCAGCCTGAATTACATGGGTGTCTGACAGCATGTTGGGGAAGTAGACAGCATCTCTGGGGGACCAGAGCACATTCTGCCCTGGAGAGCTTGGGGCTTTCTGAAGTTCTCAGTGGACACCTTGCAAAGGGAACTCTCCACTGGCAACAAAGGGATGGAGACTAAGAGGGCTGCTCAACACAGTTGTTCTGAAAGGTGCCCTGGGGACAGATACCGTACATCTAGTAGGTGGCAACACCAGGAGTGGCCCCTCAAGGTCAGCCAGCACTGGTCCTAGAATGTGGTCTGATGGGCACAAGCCTTCTTAGAGACCCAGGAGCTCCCCTAGCCCTGTCCCATCCTCTTCCAGTGGGAACTACCCTGCACATGCCCATCATCTGAGGCTGCAGGGTAGCTGACCTGCAGCAGCTCAGGCAGCTGCAACAGAAACACATCAGTCCCCATCATGAGCCAGAAATCACACAGCACACGAACATGCAAATGTTACCCAGACACACAACGCAGTGACAGAAGCGTGAAAGTCAACAGGGACCAAAGAATCACAACAAAGACTTCTAAAAACAACCTAGTTATAATTTTCACACATGCAGGTAAAACAAGAAGACATCCATCCACAACTAGAGCTGTCTAGGACCATCCTCGGTATTTGGACACACATAGAAACACAAAACCATTATTCCCCAAGTCCCCCTGGCTCTCAAGAGTTTTGGGCAAAGGTCTCTTGGTGAAGCAGCTGTTGACCACTGGAATGGAAACTGTGGCAGTTCAGCTACACTCCCACAGGCAGGGCAGGTCAAGGACAAAGCCATGGTGAAAAAAACAGGAGAGCTAACAGCTGCAGACAAAGGGCACTGGGAGTCACGGGCAGAGCAGCCACAGTGCTACTCATCAGCTACAAGGTCAGGAAGTCATGTCCTCTGAGAACTGGTCTCCACAGAACCAACCAATGCAGACATACTCCACAGGAGTATGTACCACCTATCCCGTTGATCTCCAAGCCCCCAAGTGCTGTTCTGTGACGTCATGCAAAGTGTTCACATAAAGGCTGTTACTTCGACGTTCTGCGGAGCACAGACTTCTGGACATGTTGGCCTCTGAGCAATGCTGAAACTACCATGCAGTATCTCCGTGGGACCTGGACCCTGAAGGTCGGGCCTGCTGCTGACACTACAGAGTGTTGCTGTTGAATCTGTCGATGGCTGAGGTGGGTGCAGACCAAGAGAATGGCATGGTGCCTACGCAACTAGTAGTGGGGGAATTGAACACTGAGGTCAGGTGCTGAAGCCAGTGCCCTCAGGACTGGGCTTAGGGTTCACCAGTTGAGAAGAGCAAGTCTCCTGAGGGCTGGAGGTGACCCCTCAAGGCACTTCAACCTGATAATGTGGCTCAGTCTTCCAACATCAGACGCAGAACTGGCCCACTGGACCCAGCTGCAGCTAGGGGAGGCTCCAGAGTGCTGAGAGGCCACAGGTCTCCTGCCATTCAAATGATACATTATCTGTGCTAAGAGATACAATAAAACCACTAGCCAGAACATATGGAACCCTCTGTAAACAAGGAGCCACGCTCCTGGGCTGGTGTCCCTGCCTGCTCTCTCCCTCATCTGGGTATGCTCTCCTGCCTAGCAGGCAGTCTAAGCCCCACAGCTGTACATGCTATAGAGCAGGGCTGCAGGCGGTCAGCAGGTGCAAACAAGGTACTTCAGCTGTCACCTGATGTGGATGAGCAAGGCAAGGTAGAGAGAGTTGTGCCCATGCATACACCAGGGCACTCCTGAAGGGCCTCAAGTTTGATCACAGCCCTGAGAGCCACCCGGGGCCGTCTCAGCTGCTGCTGTCTCCTGAACACTGTGTGCAGCGCCTGCAGCTGCCCCACCTCCTGCATGGTAAAACATGGCTGCTGCTCTGCAAACCGCACAAGTGCCTCGAAGGATGTGGCTGCCTGCTCCCAGGCTGCCTCCTCATCCTCACTAGTATCTTTCTCTGACTTTTCTGCATATTCAGTGGCCTGGGCTGGTGCCTCAGCAGCAGGGGCCTCATCCATGTCTCTCCCTGCCATAACCCGCTCTTCGGCCCTGCTGTTCTGAAGCCTGCTGCCAGAGCAGGAGGGCCCTTCTTTTACAAGTTCAAGGATGTGTGCAAAAGTCTTGTGAGGCTTGATGCTACAGCACTCGGCCTCCTCCTCAGAGGAGGAACCTTCAGCGAATGGCACGGTGGGCCACAGCTTCCTCCAGGCCCGCCTGAAGACCTGGCTAGGCACAGCATTCCAGGCACAGGCCACATTGACTATGGCATCATTCATGCTGTGGCGGGTGGGAAAGGCCTGTAAGGCCATAGGAGGATTAATAAAGAGTCTCATGAAAGCTCTGCGAATGCCTTGCTCTGTGGGCTGCAGTAAGGAGGTCACACTGGAAGGGAGGAAGATAGTGAAGACATTCTCTGACACCAGCTCTGACTCCTGTGGGTGGGCCCGGGAATGGTCCAGCAAGAGAATTGCCTTGCTGTCTTCCGGTAAGCCTATAGTTCTAAAGTGCTCTCTCACTGAGGGGACAAAAATATGATGGAACCAGTCTGAGAAAATCTCCTTGTCTACCCAGGCGTTACCCTGGGCCTTGTAAGCAATAGGCAAGTGCTGGATGCCTCTGAAGGCTCTGGGGCCGCCACCCTTCCCAATGGCCAAAGGCTTGATTCTGTGGGAGCCTGTGGCATTGGCGCACATCAAGACGGTCAGCCTGTCCTTGCCCTGTTTGAAGTGGGGCACAGTCCCATCATCCGGGGTAGAATTTGGCAAGCACCGCCAGACAAGCCCCGTCTCATCAGCGCTGTATACCTGCTCAGGAGACAGCCCATGCTCAGCTGCGAGGCTCCTGAAAAAGCCACAGAACTGTTCAGCAGCTTGGTGGTCAGCCACCTGCTTCTCGCTAGAGGCATCTAACTTCTTAATGCCATGCCTGGCCTTGAAGCGCCAAAGCCACCCTCCAGAAAACACACAGGGCTCCGTCAGCCTCATCTGCTTGTAGAAGTCCTTGGCCTTTTCGATGAGCATAGGGCCCGACACAGGGATGCCCTCGGCACGCTTTACCAGGAACCACTCATACAACACTCGGTCCAGGTGCTCCAGCTTCGGCGTGTGCAGGGTACGCCGCTGCTCCAGCGCCTGGCGAGAGTCTGAGCTGGCGAAGAACCTGAGCAGCTGGGCCTTGTGGGCTTTGATGTCATACAGAGTGGACATTCCCACATTATACTCCTGCATCAGTGCCTTCCTGCTCTCCCCACGCTCTAGCCGAGTGCAGATATCAATCTTCTCCTTCAGGGTTAGCACCACTCGCTTCCGCTTCTCCCCCTTGCCCTTGGCTGCAGCCTGCTTGGAGGCCATTGAGGAGGCGACCCAGGCTGAGCTGGGCCTGTCCTTCCCTGCCTATGTTTCTTTCTGGCTTCCTTGGCCACAGTCTCTTCCTCTCTTCTCCACCTGCCCACAGATCTGATGCCAGGCTCAAGCCAAGTCCATTCTTAGCTCTGTCCTTTGCCTATAGCAGTCTCTTGGCTGTTTCCCTTTAGTATTGGGGCCCCAGCACACTTAGGCCTCAGGTCCTAATAGTGTAGGCAACTGCTGTTCTCTCCAGGGGAGGTGACAGGGCTGAGCTACCCTGGACTACTAAGGTACACTTGGCCTCCACACAGACAGAAGATGGCGGCTTCCCCTTCAACAGTGTCCAGGTTTCAGGTTAATGAAGATTTGATGGCTTGAGCTGGGAATGCTTCTCCCTGGGATTCTCAACGTTGAGTTCCCCACACATTTCAGGAACTGGAAAGCAGAGGAGAAAGAGAAACGTCACTAAGGGCACTCAAGAAGTGCTTAAGATGCAACTGGAGAGCATCACCTCAAATATCAGTGCCATTTGGCATGAGGTTTGCTAGCCAGCCTGTTAACCAGCCCTTCCTTGCAGACTAGAGAGTAAGCGGCAACCTTCATAACTGTCCAGAAAAGGTAACCGTCACAATACATTCCTAATGAATTCTGCCTTCTCCTTCCCTGGAAACCTTATCTGGGCTGCTCCTTCCAATTAAGCATTTGATGAGCTGGAAGATCACAGAAGTGGCACAAAAGGGCACTGGGGACCACACGTAAGCGACATGAGACATTTATTCAAATGAGCAAGAGCTGTAAAGATAGACAGGGAATGACAACTTGCCACGAGCCAGCTGTGTAACCCTAATCCCTCAAGTCAGCCTCCTGGTCTGCAGAACATCATGCTGGTCTCCGAGGGTTTCCCTCTGTACTCATAGTGAGGGCAGTATGTACCTCACTGGCACACACGGCATTCGCTGTGTGCGCCTCACTGTGGAGCAGAAGGAAATCAAGGCCACAGTCTAGTCGCAGGGGAAATGTTTAATGACAAACCCAGGCCGCCGAGGAATTCTGCAGCAACCTGAGAGGCAGACAAGCTTCCAGGAGGCTCAGCTCGTGATGGCTGTATCTTCCTGCCTGCCCTGCAGGTGTGTTGAGAGTGGGTAAGTGGCTGACTACACCCACTTCAGAAATAAATTTTGCCAAGCTGAGTGTGGCGGCCCACACCTGACATCTTAGCACTTGGGGGAGACTGAGGCAGAACTGCTTTGAGTACAGGGCCACCTTGGGCTACCCAGTAAGTGCTAGAAAGAGATAAGAGGAAGAGGGGAAATTTGAATTTTGTACCACTTTTGGATCCTCCTAAACATGGCTGCAGAACCCCAGAAGGCTTTTATCCTTGGGACGTCAAAGGAAGCACTGATAACCCCGGACCAATTGAACAGAGGCTTAATAGGGGTGGGAGTATAAGCATGAAAAGCTCCTAAAGGGAGAGGCCAATTTCTTCGTGTTGGTTCTGAGGTGTCTGGAGGACGGATATTAGAAACAACCTGCTACCGGGCTGCAGACGGGACGACACACTGGGAGAAAAATTCAAAGCACGGGCAAGGGACGAAAGAAGGGTCCCGGGAGGGGCGGAAACAACCGAGACTGCCCGGTCTGCGTTCCGGCGGAGCGCCTGGCAGCCGAGGAGACCTGATCCTGGGGAGGGGATCCCCGGGAGCAGACGACACGCGTCCGGCTCTGGGGCGGGAGCGCTGGCTTGGCCTCGAGTCCCGTTCGCGTAGACGGCGGCGCGGCAGCCCCAGTCCGGCCCGGCCCCACTCACCTGCGGACTCCCAGCCACCGCTACCGGCCGGAAACGCCCGCCACGCAGCTCTCCACCGGTCCGCTCCTCGCAGCCTTCCCCGACTCACTTCCGGAGACGCTCTAGATACGGAGACTGCGGTCTCAGTGTTGTCTTGCTTGCTACACCGCGGCTGAGCGAGGAAGCGGCTCCGGCCCGGCAGCTCCACCGCCCGTAGGACAAGGAAGGCCCGGGGGAACCTTTCATGAGGAACGGAAGCCCGGAGCTAAGCGTCCGGTCCCGGCAGCCCTGGCCGGGCGAGCACGGACGGGAGGCCTAAGACAACGCCACCTCGCGGTGGGAGGTTCCCAAAGGCCTGCGGGTTGCCAGGACCCCTTTCCATCCCTGTGACCTTTCCTTTAACTGGAGTTCAAAACGTGCCCATTTAGACGATTTTGATGATGAGATTTAAAAAGTAGTGCATCGTGGAGGCTTTGAGAGACCTTGAGATGAAATGAACCATTTTGCATATGGAACATCCCTGAATCTTTGGCGACTGAAAAGTGTGCTGTGGTGAGCTGTGTGGTGGCTCGTAAGGGTTCTCAATCACAAATCCCCTGAACCTGTGAGTACAGGCTGTTAGTACACCTGCTGAAAGCTTAGCAGATGCGACAAAGTGAAAGTCGTTGAAGTGGGAAATTCATTCTGATTGTCTGGGGGGGCCTCATGTAAGCACAGCGTTCGTTGTTAAAGGATCAAATGAGGGAAGAAACTGTAATGAAGATGGTGAAGTGACAACAGAGACTGGGACCTGTGCTTTGATGATGGAGGAAGGCTATGAGCCAAGAAGTGCAAGGGGCTCACAGGGGCTCCAGAAGGTCAGGGAACAGCCTCGTTTTGGACTACAAGCCTGGTGACATCCTGATCTCAGTACCCTGGCCCACACAAGTGTCGTTTTGTGCCTCCACACTTTGGTCACCGTGCCATGGAAACACAGATTATGGGAACTTGCTCCTTCTAATTCACACCCTTGCCTGAGCACCCAGAACCCTTCTACTTGCTTTTCCCTAGCTTCCCTTGTTGGATCCTTTGCTCTCAACATTCACACCTCTTAAGGACCTCCAGGACAGATGTCCTAATAACATGGAAGACTGCATGCCTCCCAAATCCAGAATCTCTTCCTCCTTCCAGAATTCTCCTTCCAGAAGCTCTTCCCTGATGTCCAAACTTCTGTCTTTTACCCAGTAGCTGTCCACATGCACCTTGAACATGGTGTTTCTGAAACAGGGATCAAGAGCCTCTTGACCAGCCTGGCTCCACCCACTGTGCTTCTAGGCAGTTCCAACTCCCCATTCCCTGAGGGTCACCCTGAACTCTCCCTCACATCCCACATCCGTCTGACCAGTTCTAATTGGCCCTACCCCCAGAATCATTTTTTCCCTCTCTCCCTCCATCTGTCTGACCTATGGTTTGAACCCTAGTCATCTGTTTTCTCCTCCTTGGTCCTGCTGTTCTGCCCTCACCTCATCATCAACTATTGCTTCTGTGCTGTGAGCTGTCCTGAGACAGTGGCTTGGAACAGCCATAGTCTTGTAGAACATGACTATGGGTCGTGAATAGAGTTAAATGTATGTGATGCAGGAGGAAACCAAGTCAAGAGCACATTGGGCACATGGTTGACTGAAACCAAGGACCCTGAGAAATATTTCTGACAAGTTTCCTGGACTCCCCTGGGATGGCCGGCTCTGTGCCTGCATGTGGCTCTCTCCTGCCACCTTGTGAACCTGAGATCACACACTTCTCTGGGGGCAGGGCTTGGCATGGAACTGAGGCCTGGAGCATGACTCCAGGATCCTTGGTCTTATCTCAAGGACTGGGTCTACTCTAACAATGGGGAAGGGATCAGAAAGGGAAGACTGATGTTCCCTTGGCCATGGCACTAAGCACTCCCCTCTACTCCCTTTCACTAATGCATGGAGTTAAGAACTTGAGATCACATGTGTACCATTGCATCTTCCTCAACAGCCAGACTTGACCTCCCGACTTATTGGCCTCCGAGAAGGTCAATCTTGACAGATCACTTATCTACCCATGGTCTGGCTTATGCTGGCCATCTTTCAAGCCCGTAGGTCATACCTGCAAGGCTGTTCCCTGTATCAGCGAGCCTTTGCCTGGAGAAGGCCTGGATTTCAGGGTTGGCCACTACTCAAGTGGAGAAATTACCAACCTCCACTTCCTCCTCGCAAGATTTCTCAGGCCTACCTATCTTCCTGATTTGTCTCCAAAGAGGAATGGTCACGTGAAGACAAACAGGGAAAGGCAGGGACATCTCTGAGAGATTTAAGGCAGAAGGTTAGCTGGTGACAGTTGGGAGTCAGTGGGAAGTGGGTGTTTCAGACAGAGCCATGAGTAGTGCTGAGGAAAAAGAACTTCTGGGTAAGCAGGTACCATAAAGATTAAAACATGGATATGTCCCAAGATTGAGCAGGGCCTGTGGAGTGTCAGGTCTCCAGTCCACTGTCCAAGGGATTACTCCAATTTTCATATTTGCACATGCCCTTTCTCTCATAGTACACACATAATGTGCATTTGACTTATACCACACACTTGGCGCATGACTGGCGCAGCACAGGTTTCCATTTCTCACACAGAGCTTGCAAGGAGTGGCTTTGACTTCCAGGACCCAACATGGGGACCTTAGTAGGAGAGGATACCCAGCTTCCTGGAGGCCTGGCTACATGTGTTACATCCCTGACCTTAGGGACCATGTTTCCAAAGGCCTGCGGTGGCATAAACAGAAATCAGTTGCGTTTTTGCATTCCACATGCTGACTATCCTTTTAAAAGCTACCCATGTGCAAAATTACAGTTCCTCCCAACTGTGATTTGTGTCTAATGTGATGACCTCCTAAGAGGAGATAGAGGTCTGGTGGAAAGCCATAGTTTTGAGAATCCACACCCAAAGGACGGTAGCTTCTTTGCTATGTGAACTGGCAGGCTCTCCTGGGGAGTATGGTGGGGCAGAGGAGGAAAAGAGAGAACAAGAAAAACTAGAGACTCGGGCAGTGGAGCCAGGCTAAAGGTGAGTCATGTCAAGGTTACACCCAGACCTCATTCACTCGTGGAGGGAGTATTCCCTTTATGATAGGCCTTCGTCAGGAAGTGTATCACCAGAAAACCCATGCTAAGGGTTTTCAGGATTGCATTTAGTGCATACCCTAAACATGAATGGCAAGGGTCAGTGTTAAGTTCACAGCTCAGGTATAACCAAGATCGGGCCTCATACTGTAACCATAATCAGGCTCAGTGTATGCACGGGATCAGGGCTCCGTCTGACCAGGATCAAGACTCAGTGTGTGGGTAGGGTCAAGTTTCAGCTTGCAACCAGAGTGAGCATCATTGTGTAACCAGGAGCAGAGCTCATTGTGTGTCCACGATTAGGAAGAGTGACCAGGATCAGGGCTCAGTGTGTATCCAGGATCAAGACTCGGAGTGTGACCAGGGTCAGGGCTCAGCATGTGGTCATGATCGGACTCAAGATGGGCATGCCCAGGACTCAGGGTGTGACCACAATACTGCCCTTTTGGGGGACCAGAGTCACCGGAATGAGCGTGTAGTGTTGGGCTGAGGTCAGAGTTGGGCCTGTGGCGAGGGGTGGGGCTGTAGGGAAATCACAGCTACAGTCTTCAGTATTTGAGGTGAGGCCAGTAGGTCACCCTTTGGCCAGAGGTGTTTGGGGCCCTGTGGTGCTGGCATTGCAGATGTTGAGAAGCTCTTGGCCTGTGCGCACTATATCCATCCCGTGCCCCTGGGTTGAGACAGGCAGAACTTGCCTCTGGGCATTGATGTGGAGAGAGAAGGTTTGCTCCATTCAAGGACCACTGCCTTTAGAGTGTTCACTTCATATCAAACCTGATCGACAAACATTTACATACCTGTAAATATTTGGGGAATGACTGTTCTGCCTGGTGCAGGGTGCCAGTGCCTCCAGTCCTGAGACAGATAAGCAAGGTCTCCAGGGGCAGCCATCCAGGTGGGTGGGAGTGCGTAGACACCCATACATGGACACAACCAAGCTGTGGGCACTTACCGCACCCCCTGGGCAGGCAGGCCTGTGGCAGTAGGGGATGTTCCAAGGGGAAGTTCTAGGTGGGCAGAGAGCCGGAGAGCATCTTGGAGAGGGTACCGTCACCCTGTGTGACCTTGAAGGCAGGCTCTTGTCTCTCCCCTCCCCTCTCTCTCTGAGCTACAAGCTCCTTACTGCCAAAGGAGAGAATTTCCAGTGAAAAAGGAGCCAGCCCAGGAGTGGTAGAAAGTTGGGCAGGGGAGATCACAGAGGGACTAGGGTAGGGCCAATCTGTGTACTGCATATGGTCCAGGCATGCTGAGGTCTTGGATGGTTCCTTGAGGCTAGAGGGGACTACTTAACACTCTTCTGTGCCTTAAATGCCAGGCTGTTCTCAAGGAACTTTTAGGGTGAAGGAATAATCAGGGACCTGTTAGCAAGGACAAGAGACTATCAGAGAGTGCTGTCCCTGGTTATGGGCAAGCGGGTGGTGGCCATGGCCATCATTTCTACCCACTGTCATCTTGCCAGACAACAGTGTACCAGCAGGATCACCAAGTGAGCTTGGCAGAAAGATGGTGGATGTAGGTGAGCCTCGGGTTGAGACCAGAAACAAAGACTGCAAATAACCCAACCAAAAAAGCCAACAACAGCAGGGATCACTAGCCCCCTGGATCTGAGATCAGAGCTGGGGACTGGGATCAAAGCTGGCTGGGGAAGACCAACTGACCAATAAGATCATGGCTTCTGCTAAAAAGAGGTAGCCACTGCCACTACAACCCAGCAGTGAGGCTGCCATGGGGAGAGACGGCCTGACCTCTATCCCTCCCTGCTTTATTTGAGCCGAATGCCTCCCAGACCACAGAGCAGTGTGCAAAGTGAGTCTGGGGACAGTAAAACATATCCAGTGGTGGCCAGGCTCTGTACTCCTCTTTCCCTTGGGAAAGCTCCTGGAAGCTGTGTTTCCTGACTCTCTTATAGCTAAAATTCCACATTGCAGGAAGGGACCTAACTAAACAAGGTCCTGAAGATGGATCTCTTAGTCCAGGACCTAGCACCCTCCATTGCTCAAGGACATGAACTTATAGCTATCCAAGCTCCTCATTGGCTCTTGGGTTCCACATCTAAGGAAGGCAGCCTCGGAAGCACCCCTATTCAGTGACACGTTCTAGCAGCCACCTTTGTTCTTGGCTAAATAGCTAAGGGGAAGTAGAGAACCTCAAGAAAGTAACATTTCAGATCTGGCCTCACTTCTCTGAGCAGGGCAGGCGCAACGTGGGTGCCTTTAGACTTCCAGCCCTTGTTCTGTGGGTGTCTAGCAGAGACAGCAGCCCCACCCTGTAAAGACTGCCCTCCAGAGCTAGAAAGAAGGACAAAGGCATTGGGAGGGGTGTGAGAGATCAGATTGGAATGGGCTGGCCCTTGGGCTTTCACTGGCTCCAGGGAACCTGTCACTGTTGACTGTGAGTAACGGAGCCTCCCCTTCCACCTAGAGCCATATAAAGCCTCTGGAGGCACATTCCCAGCTGCTCACTGCGACCATGAAGACTGTCCTCTTTGTCCTGCTGGCCATCTCTTTGGCCCTGCATCCAGGTACGCTTCAGACAGCCACAGAGCCGGGCTAGGGGAAAGAGTGAAGGAGAAGTGTCAAAGGGGCAGGGGGACTAGGAGAAGAAAATGGGAGAAAGAAGACCAAATAGGCCAAAGCAACTTTGCAGTGAGGACTCTCACTACTGTCCTTTGAGAGGCAGGTTAGGAGGGGCCGAAGGGCTTCCAGAGAGGCCATGGAAGAACAGACACATGTGGCTATTGGTCCTTAGGGAGGCCCAGGGACCAAATGTTGAGAAGTGTCATAGAGGGAAGGGGGAGGGGAAGGAACAGGAAAGGGTCCTCGGGATGTCTTGAAAGGGTCTGCCCCTGGCTACTTTTCCCTGCAGTGGGAGAGTCCCCCTGGGTGGGCAGTCTGTGATGATCTAGTGTGTTGGGCCCTCCTATCAAGGGACCCCGGAAAGGAAACTACACTCTTAGAGCCTCAGCTTCTTCTTCCAGACAAAAACAAAAAACAAAAAAAGCTGTCCCTAAGTCCACTAGAGACCTAAGCAAGGATAAAGTTTGTAGCCACTGAAGTCAGGTTCCTACAGACATGACTTTAACTGTAGCTTTGTCATTTTTGAAGAGAGAAGACAACCAACACATCCTGACATCTGGGGCTTCTTGCCCCAGGCACAGAGCAGGATGAGCCCGGGGACCCTACCATTGCCACACAGGATGATGGGGGCCTAGGAGGGGCTGAGAAACAAGCTGAACAAAGACAGCTTGAGAACAAAGACAGGTGGACCTCAGGGCCTAGTAGCCTGAGGAAGTCAATGAAGCACCTCCCTCCAGCTTAGTGCCCAGTGGAGCTTTTTCCAGGTGCGACCTCTCTCAGGGCTCATGGGCATTTAATCAAAGTTTTAAATTCCTGAATAGTGAGTAACAGCACAGATTGTGGGCTCTGAGTGACCAAGCAGAGATAGGCTGGCACAGAACCCTCTGTGAAGAGTGCCAGAGCACTTTGGGGCTTCTGTCGCCTCTATGCCTCAGCAGTCTGGAGGGAACCAGGATGTCTCTCTCCACTCTGCGTGGGGATGAGAGTGTCTGGTAGGCCTCTCTTGAAGTGCAGCTGGCCAGCCTCTGAGCCTCAAGCCTCCTGCTTCACCCACAGGTGCCGCCCTGCAGTGCTATTCATGCACAGCACAGGTGAGCAACAAAGATTGCCTGAATGTGCAGAACTGCAGCCAGGAAGAGAACAGCTGTTGGACGTCACGTGTCCGTGAGTGCCCGCTGCCCACCGCTGTCCTCAGTGCCTGTTGCCCTGCCGTCCGGCCACTCTACTGTCCTGCTTTTTCAGCCTCCTTCCCCACTCCGGCTAGGCAGCAAAGAACCTAGACCTTTGGATTTTGCTGCGATTCTTCCCCTGTCCAGCTGCCTGCCTACCCATGAATCTACACATTCCTGTTCAGCCATCCCCAAACTCATCTCCACCTTCCTACCCTCCACAACCTCCTCCCCTGCTCACTCATCCACCAAACATTTCTGGTACCCGGTAGGGTTGGGTCTAGAGCTTTAGCGTGCTCAGGAAGGGGCAGAGAGGTGAACAGCAAGACCTGGCTTTAATGCAGGTGTCGCTCTGTCTTCCCAGGGGCCATTGGACTCGTGAGGCTGATCAGTAAGGGCTGCAGCGCAAACTGTATGGATGACTCGGAGGACTACTACGTGGGCAAGAAGAACGTCACGTGCTGCTACACCGACCTGTGCAATGTCAATGGGGCCCAAACCCTGAAGCCTGCCACCACCCTGGGGCTGCTCACTGTGCTCTGCAGCCTGTGGCTGTGGGGCTCCAGCCATCACTAGGCTCTGGAAGAACCCCTACTAAAAACCCCTACTGTGCAGGGACGCCCCCCACCTCAACTCCTAACATCCACACAGGGCTGGCCTGCCCCCCTTGGGGCTCTCTCCTCTCTGCAGCTGCTCTCTCTACAGCTGGCACTTTGCCCACCCCCGCCAGTTCTGCCCAGGCACTTCTGTTGCAGGACTCCCTCTTCACTCTGTTCTCCGGGACTTGAGCCAATCTGCACAGCAGCACTCGGGGAGGGCCTGGTAAAGGCTGAGATAAGACGAAGAGAGCAGAAATGAAGCTGGGAGGTGGGTGTGAGGTGCCGGGAGTCCTAGGAGATGACGCTGGGTGGAGGACCTGCCCCATGTTCATTGAGCCCTCGAACACAGTAGTCCTGTAATAAATATATGTTGGGTAAGTGGAGAGAGCCTCTGTTCTTAAGCAGCCCGTGATGAGCCTGGCCCCCACCTGGGCAGTGTCTACCAAGGGTCCCAGACATGCCAATGACCTTGGGAGTTAGAGCTCTGGTCTTGGTAGGAACACAGGTGTGGCACCTGGCAGGAGGTAGGAGTGCATATCTCAGGACACCCAGCTCTTGCTGTGACAGACTCAGGCACATTGCCAAGCTTCTCTGAGCCCTGTTTTCTCCTCTCCTGCCCTCTCTGTGTAAGGGTGAGCCCAGAGCTTCCACAGATAAGAAGATCCCTTGGGAAAGAGGGCGTTCTGCAGCTCCCTCCAGCCTTGGTGAATCTATTATACAAAACTTTGTTCTAGCTGTGCATTGGTGGCATTTGCCTTTAATCCCAGCGCTCGAGAGGCAGAGGCAGGCATTTGAGGCCAGCTTGGTCTTCATAGCAGTTTCCAGGCCAGGCAGAGTTACAGAGCAAGACTCTGTCTCAGAACAAACACCACTTTGTTCTAAGGGTTGCATGATGCAAGCACATAGGAAATAAAAGGAGCAGGAAGTGAGCTGCCCCCACACCACACCACAGAGGAGTGTGTCCAGGCCACACTCCTGAAAGACTCCTCTTGAGCCTGTGTCCATGCAGTTAGAAGCTTGGAGGGGCTGTCTACAGGACATGCCCACCCTTCCCATTCCAGGGAAATCCCTTTTGAAGGAAGCCTATTTTACACTTGTGAAAGTCTGGATGCTGGGTGGGGACCTGCAGTGTTGAGACAGTAGCATGAAGAAGTCAAGGAAGCACTTCCCTCCAGCCTGGTGCCCAGCCAGCTTTCTCCAGATGAGATCAGTCTCTGGGGCCTCTGATCTCTCTCTCAGGTATCACAGGCATTTGATAAAGCTTTAAATTCCTAAACAGTAACAGCACAGACCGGGATTTGGGTGCCTGAGAAGAGGCACAGCGGACAGAGGACCAGTGAAGGGCTCAGTTGTGTACTGAGCTGGGAATCAGAACCTGAGTCCCAGAGTTCAGTGGTGGTGGTGGGACCCCAGTGGCCAGTAGCATGGGAGTCATGCTGAGGGTGAGCCTGGCCAGAGGCTCCAGGGTTCTCTTCAAAGCGGATGCCCTCAGCTCTTGTGTGTGACCTCAAGTATGAGGCCTCCTTCTCAACCCTAGGGTAAAAGTGAGCACACAGCTGTGGTACAGCTTTTCTAGACTGTCATCTGAGTGATCCTGAATCCCAACTTCCCCCTTTCCCTATGGGCCTCCCCAACATTCTGCCTCCTTCCTCACCCACATACAAGCCTAGTCTGCCCAGGGGTGTATCTACGTTCTAGGAGGTCCTATGTTTTCAGGAAGACCTAGGGGTCCTACAGAACATCACATCTCCTAGAAACATGGTATAGGACCTGGGTGCAACAGCAGCCGTGTGTGCGTGTGTGTGCGCGCGCGTGTGTGTGTGTGTGTGTGTGTGTGTGCGCGCGCGCGCGCGCGCGCACTAGCACTTCAGGTAGTACTTCTGGCCACACTGCCTAGGATATCTTCTGGTTCAGGCTTCCCGTCTTCTCTGGAAATAGTGGAGGACAAGACAGTTTGCAGGACCCTGCACCTCTCCATCTGCTCAGCAGTTACGGAGCATCGACTTGGTTTCAAGTGCTCTTCCTGGTACACCACATCCAGCAGCCACCTAGGCTTGGCCGGGTTCTCCTTGGCACTCCTGGGCACCCTAGAATCACCTCATGACATGGAGCCTGCAGGAGAGCAGACTCAGATAAATATGGAAATATTCAGTTTCTTAACACAAGAAGTGGGAAAACAAAGGGGAGAGGATGGCAGAGCTGCCTCACTCAGGATGATAATCCTTGCTTGGTAGACTCAGCCCACCAGGGACCACATCAGCTGCCCCTTAGCCAAGACTACTCCCTGTGATTGGTGTCCATAAATTCCTACAGGCATAGGGTACCCCAGGGGCAGAAGGACAGAGGGACAAAAGGCCTTCACAATCTACCCTGGAGACCTCTTTGTAGTGAATTATTAGAGTTAAGGCGAGGAAAGTAGAAGGCAGAAGGTGCCCCAAGATATAGGGGTCAAGCCTATTACCTGGCATGCTCCTCTAACTCCTACATAGTTCCAGCTCCCAGGGTAGCACTGCTCATCCGGTGGGGGCGGAGCCAGGGGAGGATAGGGCAGCACCAGAGTTGGGTTGGGCTGGGTCATCCTGCTGGAGCCTGCACCACCCTGTGTCTTGCTTCCCTCCCACCCCTACCCCACCCCCGGTATCCAAATGAATTGCAGACCTGCCTCTAGGGCAAACACAGAAGTCCTCAAAGAGCCAAAGGTCCCTGAGCAAAGTTTCTGCACCCAGCATTCCCATTCACCTAGTGCTGGCAGAGGAAGAGGGTGTTAAGCAATCCATAACACCATATTGCATTCTTCTGTAGACACCGCTGTCAGTTAAGGTGAGAGAGGCCCTCAAGTCAGGGCTCAGCTGTGAGACTCAGCATTACTTATGCATGAAAACTACGGCCAGTTGTGTTCAAATCCCTTCGAGAGGACCCTGGCATTGTGGTCCAGGCTGGGGTAGGGGAGAGGAAAATGGAAGCAAAGTGAACAGTGCGTGGCAGCACCAAGAGCAGCCAGCAGAATGGCTCGGAATAAGCAGGGTAATAGGAGCAGAGGAGGCTGGGAAGGTGGGTGCTCGTTCACATTCTTCTCTGTCTCAAAGGCCTACCAGTGGGTGGGTCTCTCCCCTGGAGGCACGAGAGAGGCTGGTGGATGGAGCAGGTGACAGAAAACCTATTCTCTGAGCAGTGAACTCAAAGATCATTACTTAGTCACTTCCTCCTGAGAGGCTGCCTCTCCCCAAGCTAGAGTGCTGACCAGGGCAAGGTGGGTGTAAACCAGCATGCCGGAAAGGTTCTTCTTCCAATCCCTTGGAAGTACCCTGATAGACAGTGAATTTTTTGCCTCGTGGAGTATCCAAGAAAACCCCAGGCACCCAGTATGCCATAGCTCCTGGCCTCAGAAGCAAAACAGAAAAAGAACTGTGTTCTGGACAGAGACCACAGCAGACCCACCCAGGGCAGCATGGGACAGTGGAGTGATGCCGCCCAGAGTCTCTGGAGTGCCAGCAGTCCACCCATCCCTGGGCCCCCTGCTGTCACTTGCACACAGGATTATTGCAGAGTCCTGGAGGCCGTTGAGGAGAGCCAGCCCGACCTCAGGACCTCCTCCCACTCGGAATGAAAGTGACTGACATTCTACAATCCGTGGCTGTGGCAGGCATCTTTAGCCCGGTTGGTAAGTCATTTGCATTCATCCCACCCCCTCTCCACGCCCCACTTCTTCCCCTCCATCTTGAATGCTACTTGCATTAAAAAAAGGAAAAGGTGGGAATTATTGGGGTGCACTTGGGGTGATTGAGATTTTTGGCAGACAGGGAGCGAGTACTAGGGGACAAGCAATGTGGATGCAGACTGAGACTGAAATGCGCCCGGAAGACCGGATCTAAATCTAACCCACCGCGAACGTCCCCAGGGTCCTTGAGGAGGCGGGATGTCTTGTGAACAGGCTTGTGGGTCACAGACAGCCTCGCATGGCTATTCCCAAAGACGGTCAGTTAAAAGCAGCATCCATGGCTATTCATTGCCCGTCCTCTTGAAAAAAAGTTCCTCAGCTGCTCCGGGGAAGTTCTGGAACTCTTTGGCTGTGTTCGTCTGAGGGACTGTGTCTTTGGAGGGAGCAGCAGGCTTCCTGTCGCTCCTAAACCTGCAGGGCCGAGCGGGGCGGCCAGGTGGCGCTGTACTGCTCCGAGCGTCCCCCCGCCGCGCCCCGCCCGGCCCGGGAAAAGAGAAAGCGGCTTGACTGGACGACTCGGAACAGACCACCGAGGGTGCGCGCGGGGGGGTGAAGCGGGATACGTGCTCCCGACTCCAGCACGCAGCGCAGCTGCCACCAGCACGTCTCCCCCTCGGATTGTTGGGAGAGGTGGTGCGCTCCGGTCCCCAGAGCTTCCAGGCTCTCGGGCAGGACCGGCGGCCGGCACCTGCGCAGCGGGCTCCTGGGCAGCCGGCGCCCGCTGCCAAGATGCTGGGGCTGCTGGTGGGGTCGTTAGCTCTGGCACTCGCCTTCTTTGCGCTGCTTGACGGCTGGTACCTGGTGCGCGTGCCGTGTGCCGTTCTGCGCGCACGCCTGCTGCAGCCGCGCGTCCGTGACTTACTGGCCGAGCAGCAGTACTCGGGCCGGGTGCTGCCGTCGGACCTGGACCTACTGCTGCACATGAACAACGCGCGCTACCTGCGGGAGGCCGACGTGGCGCGCGCCGCTCACCTGACCCGCAGCGGTGTGCTGGGGGCGTTGGGCGACCTGCGAGGTCATACGGTGCTGGCCGCCTCGTGCGCGCGCTATCGCCGCTCGCTGCGTCTGTTTGAGCCGTTCGAGGTGCGCACCCGCCTGCTCGGCTGGGACGACCGCGCCTTCTACTTGGAGGCGCGCTTTGTCAGCCTTCGCGACGGCTTCGTGTGCGCCTTGCTGCGCTTCCGGCAGCACGTGCTGGGTACCTCGCCGGAACGCGTAGTACAGCACTTGTGCAAGCGCAAGGTGAGCAGCCCCACCCCTATGCCCCGACCCAGTTCGGCTCCCAGCCCCCTCCCACTAGGAAGACCTCTTTGAAGTTCTGAGATCGGTCTTGTACCAAAGGCATCTTTGAAGTTTTGGGACTGTACTTTTCCTCTGTGTCCACGCTGGTACCCTTCTTGGGGTCCCCAGCATCTGTGAATCAAGGCTTTACCGCCAGGCTTAGCCATTTGAGAATCTGGCCCCAAGCCCAGGGATTTTCCTCCCTCCTTCTCTTCAAGAACGGAGATGCTCAGAGCAAGTCTCAGGGGTCTGAGTCCTAATTTTGTGTGGTCTACAGTGCTGAGTCACCCTTTGGTCTTTGGTTTTGAGCAGGGGATTAAAAGATGGTCAGTTAGAAGCAGTTGTTGGGAATTCTGGTGGACCGGAGACCCTCTTTTACAGAGCTTACAGCGCCTGGGGTTGGATTGACCCCAGAGGACCACAAGCCTTGTGTCTTTCCAAGGTTGGAGGGAGGAGAGCCCTATGCCAGCTGGGACCCGAGGCTTCTCCCCAGGGCCCACTCCTTCAGCATGGTGGCAGAGCTAGGCTCCTGCAGTATGGCAACTGTGACCTTGGAGACAGCCAGGGTAGTGATGGTTGCCAAGGCAGACTCATGAAAGTTGCCAGGTCATGCCCCACCCTATTGTGCCATCTCTGGTCTTAGGCAAGTGCCTCCTCTAGAGCACAGGAATGGCCTTACATCGGTGCTTAGGGGCTATATCACCGAGACTCAGGTGATGGTAGCCATTGGCCCAGTCTGCACAGCGATTGGTGGTAGATAAGGCTCCCTGGCTTTCTGGCTTTGTTGAGTCATGAACTTCTAGGGGCTGATTGGTACAGTGTGTTTCAGGGGTGAGGGGACAGGGAGTGCAGCCACAGCAAGCAGGGACAGTGTGGAGGAGGTAGAACTGTTGTAACCTGGCATCCCAGCTCAGCTGGAGGCCTGGGGTTGGCTGGGAGTTTCCCTGGTTACCAGCCTATGTCTTGGGTTGGGTTGGGTGCCCAGGCAGAGGCAGATACGGTTCAAGACAGGCTGAGTCTGGGGTTAGGTTCTGTAAGCTGAGAGGCTAGTCTCCCGTGTGCCAAGAAGGAGTAGCCATGATGGTAGGCTGTACCCAGACTATAGGCCAGCCGTTCCTACCTGCTAAGTAGCACTTGCCACAAGAAGAAGCCTCTATCTCGCCCCTTCCCTCACCCCTCAGTCCTCAGAACCCATCTGCAAGAACTTACAGCAAGGCACTCTGCTAGAGGAGCACCTCCCCATGCCCCACATTCTGCTTTTCCCAGGGCAGCTAGTGATTTGTCAACCAGCCAATCTCACAGGCTTTTGCCTGGTCCTGAAGACAAGACACCTCAGGCATGGTCCGGCAGCTGAGGCCTGGCAGAAGTAGACGGGATAGAAAGAGCTACGGAGGAAGGAGGAAATAGGTCCAAAGGGATTAGGAAGGCCCTGGGCAGGTGTCACAATGGGATGTGGGTCCCTCGAGGTCACCGACTAGGACATGAAATAAGCAGAGGTCCAGAGGCAGGAAGGCAGCAGCCTGGCTGGTTGCCCCTTTTACTGTGCCTCTCCCTCAGCACACAGCAAAAGTTGGCTCTCTGGAGCTTCACCTTCCTGTCCCCCTGCAGGTGGAGCCCCCTGAGCTGCCAGAAGACTTGAAGCACTGGATCACCTACAATGAGACCAGCAGCCAGCTGCTCCGTGCCGAGAGTGGGCTCAGTGACAGAAAGGACCAGTGACTGCACACCCTCCCTGCACTGCCTGTCAGCCAGTCCATTCCACAGAACGGGCCGCCTGAACTACACTCCTAGTCAGAGTGGCCTTGGACAAGCCTGGCTCCTTTTACCCGCTTGATGCTCCTCTGTGCTTGCCTCATCTTGGGCAGCTGGTGGGGTGGACATTGTTGTCCCTGCCCAGCTTGTGCCCAGAATGCTCAGGATCCCGGAGCAGAAGGGATGGCGGCACAGAACCCAAAGTCAGGGCTGCTTGTGGCTCAGCAGGCCAGAGGAGTCCTGGTTATGGCTGGGACCCTTGTGGCCTGGCTCTGGGGCCTGCAGCTTACTCAGGGACAGTGGGCCCTCTGGAGGGTCACCTTATAGTAAGGAAGATAGGCTAGGACCCAGCCCAAGAGCCCCTGAGAACACAGAAGGGCAAGCAGAAGCTGGTCCTTGGCTAAGATTCTGGTGATAGCCACCACTCTTGATATACTCTGTCTAGTCAGGTCACCAAGGCCAGGAGCCCTGGTGTAGGGGGTCCCGTGACCCTGCCTAGCACCTGCCCTGTCAGCTCAGGTAGAGGACAGCTGCTTGAAGCTAGGAACTGCCTCCATGCTACCTCTCTGGGAACCACACCTGGAGTCAGAGCCAAAAGCTTCAGTGATGTCCTGATCTTCCTTCCCCTCCTCCCCGCCCAGCCCCCGTGCTGCTCTGCTTGCCTTAGTGCTATCAAGGCTGCAATGTGTTTTATTTAAGGAAAGCACAAGATTAAAAGAGTTTTAAAGGCATGTGTGCTGGGAAGGTTCTCATTTCTGCAGCCTTACCACCCCTGCACCGACCTACCCACTCCCTGGATATGTCTTCTGGAGGAACATAGATATCACAGGGTGCCCAGGCTTGTGGGTGAATTTAGGGCTCAGCCTGATGAGTCATGGAATGGAGGCCAAGAGCAAGCAGCTGGCTAGTGCCCCAGCTGGCCTTCCTACGTTGGTCCCCCTTCTTGTCTACCCTGAGCCTATGAACCTTGCAGCCCTAGTGACACGTACCTGGTCCAGTTTTTCTGTTCCCTTCCTTAGAGTCCCAGGGGCGTCCCAGGAAGTCAGGAGCAGGGTGGGGGTGTGGGCAGCACAGGGCTGTGCTTCATGCCCTTTGTGGGCAGGGAGATGGATCCTCAGGACTTAGAGCAGATGTTTTAGGAGGGGCCTGGGGAGATCTGTGCTCTACCCAGCACGGGTCCAAAGGCCTGAGGGCCTGATGGGGGTAGGAGTGGGGGTGTAAGCCAGACTCAATGGTGTGGGCAGGGGTTGGAGAGGATGTGCAACCAGCCAGTAGTATGCAGCTAGGAAGACATATCCCACACGTCTGCCTTTCCCACCTCCTGCCCTGCCCCTGCCCTGAACCTATAGGTACATGGGTGGCTACTCATTGTCTTAATTTCAGGGGCTTCAGAAAAGGGTTTTTCCCTTTCAGGGTTCAGTGGAGTAGAGGGCAGGAGACGGGCAGTGAGTGAAGGCCTGAGGGTAATCTGGAGGCCAGGGTCCTTGGGAGGGTGTTTGGCTGGAGCATAGCAGGTATCTTGGGTAACTGCCAGACAATCCCACTGGGACTCCAGAAAGGAAGTGGTGGGAGCAAAGTGGGGCTTCTGTGCCTGACTTAGCGGCTGCCTCCAGGCCTGGAGGGACCCACTGCCTGGACATGGAGTCCTCTGCCTAATGACCTAGATGTGCGGTAGTGTAACTGGGTGTGTTCATAGGTGGGTAGCTTCAACATCAACCATGGGGCAAGGGCTTCTGCAGTTCCTCGTCACTGGGGACCAGACAGCCGAGCCACGCTTGTGGCTTTGCAAGCTGGCTCCTCAGGTGCTAAGTCACAGCTCTCCTGCCTTCCCGTGGCCCCTGGACCAGCATTAGGCTTGACAGGGTTCTCCGTTCCCACATCTGTGTCTCTGAAGAGGGCGGAGGCAGTACCCCAGCTGCTCCACTGGGGGGTGACATCTGCTCAGTCTCCACAGTGAACCAGTAGCCCTGGCCTCTTGCCTCCAACTCCTGAGCTCAATGAGCCCGCAATGCAGGGAAATGGCCCCGGGAGGGGAATGGCAGGTATGGAGTTGGCCCTAGAAATGGTCCTAGCTGGCGAGACTTAGGAGGCCAGGTTGGCAGCAAAGGATGTTGTGGGAAATGCGGTGTTTCACATACCTCTCAAGGGTCCTGAGGTACCCTGCCACTGTCCCTGTTACACCCTTCTGCCTTGTGGTTCGTTGGGCAGCTGCCACCTTTTTCACAATACCCAGTTCGGCAGTCCTGGTTGCCAGTGGGACTCAGGGTCATGGCCTCCTAGCTGGGAGAATCCAGGAAGTGCTCCGTGATACTGCCTTAGTGCCCGGGGGCCATCTAGGCCTCATCACTGCCACACACTTCACAGAGGGTAGAGCAGGGTGGAAGGGACAGCCACGGGCTACAATGGGAAGGGGAGGCAGCAGCCACAAGGCAGAGGCTCCTGAGTCCTAAGGAACTTGGTTATCTGGCTGGAGAATCAGCCACTGAGTGGTCATGGCCCCACCGTCCTTTTCCCTCAGGAAAAGCCCTGTCTCAAGGGAGAGGGCAGGCCATTGTAAAGGGGATGTGTGTGTGTGTGTGTGTGTGTGTGTGTGTGTGTGTGTGTGTGTGACAGATCTGTGGAGATGGACACCCCAGGGAGACTAAGGTAGAGAGGTTGCTAGGCTTCTGTGTACCTTCCTCTGTGATCTTCTGTTGTGTTCCTGGTAGATTTGGACAGACCACCCATTCTTTCAAGTAATTGAATTACAACTTCAAGCTTCCTTTCTGGGACAGGATGATGTTCAGGGGGAGAACATCAGGGGAGGGTTACCTGGGCTTAGGAACCTACCCTGGGCTGAGATGGGCCACTGTACAGGAAGGGTAACCCAGGAAGCCTGTCTCTTTATCTGAGATAGGAATCCAAAACACCCTGCATGAGGATGATGGTTGGGCTAGCCTATAACATGCCAGAACACAGCCTGTCTTCCCTGCAGGCCAGATCTTTGGCTTCCCAGTGCCTAGCAAAGGATAGAGGATCCTTTCACCCTTGGCTTATTTTATTTTCCACAAGTTTGGTGGACAGTGAGTGACCTGAGACCCAGTAAGCTCTGCTCACAGGGCCATGCAGGCAGAGATGACTGCAGGTGGCACCAGGCCCTGCCAGGAGAGTAGATAATAGAAGCAAGGCTCCCTTTGTGGCTAGAGGCCTGTCGCCAACCCTGGGAACCCTGAGTTGCAGAGATCACGGTAGCAACAGAAGACAGGATGGGCAACTCCGATGCCATCAGGGTCAGTAGCCAGGCAGGAGCTGGAGCAGGAGCGGGTCACCATGGGACTATGGTCGAAGGGGAACGCTGCAGGATGGGGAGACATTAGAGTCCAAAGTCACTGCAGCTCCTGTCTGTGGCTCTACACCCCTCCCATAGTGCTCTGCCTTCTCAATCTACCCCCAAATCAACCCAATCCCAGATCTGCCCAGCCCTCAGCTGTGGCTCATATTTTCATTAGCGCTAGCCTCTGGGAGCACGTGCACTTCGTGGTCCCAAGGCAGGCTCTAGCCTAAGCCACAGTAGCAAACCCTGACAGAGCCAGGGTCTGAGCCAACTCTTGCCTTCTACCCATCCACCCACTGACACCACATATCTCCATGCCACTGTGTCAGTGAAGGTGCCTGAGGGGCTATGCCTTTAAGTGCAGTCACCATCTTCAAGGTGGGAGACCAACCTCCTTGCCTCAACACACACACACACACACACACACACACACACACACACACACACCATTCCTGTCCTTCTGTCTGTCTCCTAGGCTGAGCAGAACGATGGTGGGTGAAAGGGAGCATAGGGGGAAGGTAAGCCTGACCTCAGGTAGACCCACATCCACCCAGCCCTTGCTGAGCCCAACTTTACCTGCTTCCACCGTCTCCAGTACAGTCTTACAGGCAGTGTCTTCCAGCTTGCACTGAGCAATATTCTTGCACGAGTTAATGGCTGTGGGCTGCTCGCAAGTATAGCACCTGAAGGCCTCACCTAGCAAGGGGTGGGGGTGGGGGTGGGGCACAGTCTCATCACTTAGCTCTAGGGGCCTGTATCAGAGCCAGGTAGGAGGGAGACAGTGACCTCCTGAGATTCTTCAAGACCCAGATAGCTGACTGACAGACTTGAACATGACACATCACATCCATCATCCATGTCTGTCCTCCCTGGAGAACAGGCCATGGCCATGACTCCTGTCCCAGGGGAAGAGTTGAGATCTAAGACACACGAAGCCCACCAAGGATCCAAAGGATTCCCTGGCCCCCAAGCCTCCCAGCACCTCTCTCCCATTAGGAGATGGGGTAAACTGAGGTCCAAAGCAGAGTGACACCCCTCTCCCCTCCGCTAGCCTCACCCCTGTCACTCACCAAAGCCCATACTCCAGGCCACCAAGAGCAGCAGCCACATGGCCCGGCAAAAGATCATTCTTCAGTGCTCAGGAGCTGGGAGCCCTGGCTGGCCTCATGTTGAGGATTTATACTCAGCCTCCGGCTTCGGCTCCTGGGTGTTGGCAGGACCGGTGTGACTCAGTAGGGTGGCACAGGGCTGGGGATGTGGGCGGTGGATGGGAGCCATCGCCACTTACCGTCCCGGGTGGGGCCCCTCTGTGGACTTCTCCGGGAGCCCCTGTCTGGGAGTCTTGGTCCTTCTGCTGGCACACACCCAGTCCCAGACACCCTGCCCTGCTGTCCCAGCCCAACTCCAACTGAGGAAAGCCTTTTACAGCCTGGCCCAAATGGCCTTCCGATGAGCCTCTTGCCCCACCTATGTCTATGTGAATCCAGGAGGCCAGTTGGCCCAGTCTTGAGGACCCCTGAGGCCCAGGTGCAAGGCTGCCTTAGATCTGCCTGATGCAAGTAGCCTCACAGAAACTGCATGCCCATCTGCCTCACCAGATCTGCTATGTGCCCAGACATACCCACAAAATAGAGGCTGAGCCACCGTGGAAAGCAGGGAGTGCCTGATGAGGTGTAGGTGCTGTGAGGGTGGAGGTGGATACGGGGGTCTTTGGCTGAGCCCTTCACCTCCACTGCCATTCCCTTGACCACTAATTGAATGGCTTTTAGACCAAGCTTGACTTCTTGGCTTTAGTCCTGACAACAGGCTTCTAACTAACGATGGCCTTCTGGCCTTACAGTCTTCTGGCTTTCTATGCCTTTTCCTGTGTTGGGCCTTTCATTATGGGCACACTGGCTGTTTTCCTATGCCATAAGGACCACATAGGCCTTCGTCCTCCATAGCCCTCCCCAGCTGAGGTTTCCCTGTTTTCTCTGTTCTCCAAGGTTCTAATGATTGGCTCTGTGGATGTATAGGGGTTAGGCAGATGAAGGAAGGAAGGGTAGAAAGACAGGTGGATGGATGGATGGGTAGAGGATGGGTGATGGATGGACAAGTGGATAGATGGATGCAGGATGAATGGATGATTTAATGCATAGATGAATGGATAGTACTTGGCTTAAAAAAGTGGTAATAGATGGCTGACTGCATAGGTAGCCTGGAAGCCTGCATGTGTGTCTCTGTTGGGAGCTGGTGAGTAGGCCACCTCTTACAGGCTTTGTTACAACAGACTTACAGCCTGACCTTGTGACAGGATGGGAATGGAGATGGCTCTCTGGGGCCAGGAACCTAGGAGGCATGAGTTATTCTCTTGGCCTCTCAGCTCTTTCTGCGTGTGGCCTTGGGATAGACCCCTTGTCCTTCCAGACCTTGGTTTCCTGTTTATGGGTTGCTGGGGCAGAAATGACATGGCACTGTAGGGTGAGACCAGTTGTACAAGGTGTGTATGAAAAGTAAAGAGAAGGCGTAACAGAAGGAGGGACTGTAGTTCCTACAAGTCAAATAGTGGGGCTACTCTTCCCTGGGGCTCTGTCCACAGACCACACCCAGAGGTTGGGAAAGGAGCCAGAGAATGTCTGGTTCTGAAGCCTGGGAGACTGAGCCTAGCCTTGGCCTGCTGGGTAACCCCCGCCTGTTCACCAGGCACTCACTCTAGTCTCCCTTTCTTTCATCTCTAAGCTGAGCAGATGAGCTCAGCAAAAATGAGTCTTTATGGCCCTATATGGCCCTTTGGACCACAGTGCAGGTGAACTTGGGGCCCAGGGCTGGGAAGGCTTGTGTACTGAGGACAGGAGATACTGACATGAGGCTGACCAGACATTTTCTGAAGGGGCTACTTGTGCTGGCTTTGGAAAGGAAGAATGACCTCACAGGTCAGTAATGGCAGGAGAGGTGCTGGAACAGCAGCCAGGAGAGGGTACACAGCATCCTCCAGGGTGACCCTGTCACCCCTCTAGCCCCTGACTGGTAAGATTGGGACTGGGTCAACACTCCTGGGCAGGGCAGAATTTATGCCCTTGTTTGACAGCCTCTTTGTACAAGTCCACACCCTTGCCACTGGTCCCAGGTGTAGAACCAGGAGACCAGGTCTGAACCCACAAGATAGTGTGTGACTTGGAAGGCCAGCCCACTTCTCTGAGCCTGGGATGGAAGTTCTCTATGGACCTGAGTGCTTCAGGTGCTGCAGTGTGGCCCTGGGCCAATCATTCCTCCTCTCCGAGCCAGTCTAATCTTTAAATTGGAATGACGACTGTCCTAGCCCTTGGGGTGGCTAGGATGCCAAAATGAGAGGAATGTGTGTAAAACCTGCCCGGGCCACGCAAAACTGCCTGCAGAATTCAACAGAGGATCTGACAAGATTCCCTCAAATCATCTCTCTTGACAACTGCCCTGATAGGAACCCCTAGATTCCTCTCCAGACGCAGCCAGTCGCCCAAAGTAACCACCAAATTTTATGCAAGCTGGAGCCATGGCCTCTGCCTGTTCCCCTCCATCCATTTGACCACTTTCCAGCCCTAGCTGTCGGCCAGATCACCCTGTCCTGTTTCTGGGAGTCTGGCTCCTCCTCCTTGGCCATACCCTCTACCTTCCACTGAAAGGCACTGGCTAAAATGCAAATCACAGCACTTGCAGCTCTCCTCAGAAACTTTCTCTGGATTTCTGTTGCCTTCGGGACAGAGCACCCCACCCCTTGGTACTTGATGCTCACCCGCCCTTCCTGACTTCTGCTGGAGCGTCAGCTTTGCAAGTGAAGGGGCATTTTCCCACTGTTCTAAGTTCCTTCCTACTCCCAGACCTGGCCATACTGACTATTGAGAGCATTTCATGGAGGAAGAAGGGAGGAATGGAAAGGGGATGGCTGCATAGATGGATAATAAAGAGAATAGATGGATGGTTTGAGAGGAGAGGTTGATGAGTGGAAAATGAAGAAAATGGTAGGTAGATAAATGAAATGATGGATGAGTAAATAAATGGGTGAATGGTTGAAAAGGAGGATGGATGGGTGGATGATGGACAGAGGGTCGGTAAGATGGATGGGATGGGCAAGTAGATGAATGGATGGATGAATGAATGGATAGATTAAAGAATGGATAGCCACAAGGATAATGGTTGTACTTGGAAAGTGGAGGTAGGAGGGCCAAGAGTTCGAAGTCATCTTCAGCTACATGGTGAGTTTAAAAACACCCTGATCTGCATGAAAGCATGCCTCAAAAAATGGATGACGAGTGGATAGGGGATGGGAATGGAGAATGGATGGGTATATGGAAATATGGATAAGTGGGTGATGGATAGATGATAGGAAAGGTGGATGGGAGGATTTGTGGTTAAATGTATGGATAGATGGGTAGACAAGATGATGGATGAATGGGTGGAATAAAGGATAGATAGGTAGATTGGATGACAGGTGAATGAGAAGATATAAGATGGATAGGAAAATCAATGAATAATAGAATAGGTAGATGGGAGGACGGATTGAATGGATGGATGGATTGGATTGATGGGTGTAGCTGGTCTTTACTACTTTATGGGTTCTTCTTTTTTTTCATTCCTTTAGTCCCCTCATTCCCAGTTTCATCCCCTAACACTACGTAGGAGAGGAACAAGGATAGAGGGGGAGAGATATGGAGATCTCTGAACCTAATGTCATTTGTTTCTTCTTTGACTACTAACAAACTGCATCCTCCACCACCGCCACCACACTCATACCCCGAAACAAGCATCAACCACCAACCCTGCGTATCGGGACTCTCACATTCATATACCCTCTGAACGTTCTCAGAATTCCAAATGTCGTACAATCACAGAAATTATCTACAGCTGGCAAAAACGTGCCTCAGCTAGAGCACGAGGCAAAACATAGTCAGCTGCTTCAGACAGTCTGAAGCAGCCCTATAACCCCATACCTGGGATTAAATGAAAACACTTTCTTACAATGTGTGTGTGTGTGTGTGTGTGTGTGTGTGTGTGTGTGTGTGTGTGTGTGTGTGTGTTTTAAAATAAACCCAAATTCCGGAATTGCAACTGCAGATGGGATGGTAAATAGAGGTATAAAGGATGGGTGGATGAGTGGTAGTGTTTGTGAGCAGCTGAAGTCAGATGCTCTCCATAGAGATAGAGATGATGCTATCTATAGCCTAACCTAGAACTCAGCCCTGGAACTCTGATTGACCTCTCCCCAAGGCGAAAATGGCTTTTCTTCTAGCCTTTTGCAGAACTCAGCACTCCAGGATTGAAGAGCTCACCTCCTTTCAGGACTGTCCATCTCCCTGGAAGAAGTCTGTCTAAGATTATGCTGTTTGGGAACTTAAATTTGGTTCTCTGTTCAGGGCAAGAACAAGGCTAGGGACACAGAGGTGGTCTGTTTACTCTTGACTTCAAGGCCAGAGGGATAGTATTAGGATATGTGTGCTGGAGCTGGCAGGCCCCAGAAGAGGATTAGAACTTACCGTATCAACCAGGCCTAGGATGGAGTGGGCCACTGGAACCCAAATCTCTCTCTTTTTTCTCTGCCTGGGGCTAGCTCTTCTTCCAACTAAAGTCAGAGGCCATTGGACCATAGGACCAGACTTTGCCCTATCTGATTCCTGCTGGCTGATAAACTTCCTGGATTGCCACACTGGTGAGGCCCCTGGTCAAAATGGAGCCCTGCTGAAGCACATCCCTTTCTGACCAGTGCATTAGAGAGGGAACTGGCTGACAGATTTGGGTTTAGTTAATTCAAAGACAGGGGAAAGTCTCCAGAAGATAGGCTCACAGCCAATGATGCTGAGGTCGAAGAACATTATGTGTTCCATATAACCTATAACTGGACATAAGCCAAAAACTTGATCCCTGCTTATAAACTGGGACTTAATCTCTGGTCATAGACAGCCCAGATCCCTCATCACAGATGGGCCTTGTGCTCAGTCTCTGTGGTGGTCTGTGGAGTGCCGGTGCATTTGTAAAGGGTCACGTTAGACAAGAAAACTCAGGTGAGAAGGTGAGGTGTGGTGACAGGACCATTATCCCTGTTGACAAAGACAGAACTCGGAATCTCACCCCCATGTGTGGGTATCCAAGCTAGCACAAGAATCACAGAGTTTAGTTATCTCTGTTCTGGAAGTCTACCCCATTCTACCTCTACCCCCAGAGGCCCCCAGACAGAGAGTAGTAATGCTTGGGATTGTTTGCACCCCAAGATTTTGGTGGGTCTCACTAGACTGTGGGAGCACTGTCCTCAGAAGCTGGCCCAGGGCTGAAGAGCCCCATAGGAGACAAGGATGGGAACTCCCAAGTCCTGAGGGCAGGGAATCTTCCAGGTCTTCAGTCTCCTGTTCTCCAGGTATGGGGTGTCCTCAGTGATACCTTGTCATGGAACCCTAGCTTGGGACCAGAGCTAGCTACTCTTGTAGGTTATGACCAAGAGACAGATTCCTGGATCCAGGGACAGGGGTTGGGGCGATGATAGAAGCAAGAAAACGACACTCATAGCAGCCTAGCTGGAGATGTTGCAGCTGAATGAGGAGCTGCTTCCTCCAGAGGCCCAGGGCAGGGAAAGTGAGTGGACGATGCTAGTGAGGGACAGCAGAGCCATCTGTGGGTCAGGGCAGAGACAGACAGGGTCCAGCAGGAGAGGGGAGTCTTACCCAGTGAGCTTCTCCTCTAGCCCAGCCTCTGCCTACTTATCAGGCTCCCCACAAGTCCTAAGATCTAGAATGCAGCAATCTCCTGGTCTGCATGGGTGACTACCATGCTTATGATATGAAAATTTAGGAGACAGGAGAGACTGAGGGAAATATGGATGGAGGCAGAGATGTAGCAAGGAGGAGGCCCCTCTCCCTGCCCACAAGGCAGGTCAGTACCCAGAAAGGAGACTCAGGAGGCTGATACAAGTGGTTATTGTACTTCTTTAAGGCACCAGGGAACTGGGCTGTCAGGGACAAGGTGGAACCAGGTGGCCTTGGCTTTACAGCAGGAGATCCAAGAGAAAGAGAAGTGCCAGGGCAAGGATCAGGCCACCAGGACTGCCCAGGCTGGGTGCCCCATCCACGTTGCATAGATCAGAATTGCAGCAGGACACTGGCCGGGTTAGCCCAATGCCATCCACGTCTGAAGGCTCACACCTGCTGGCGCAGGACTTGGTCACCGTGGAGTCTCCCAGGAAAGGGAACACTAGGATACAGAAAGTGTCAACAGTAAGGGCCAGCCCTTTATTGCCCCTGTGCCTCAAGCCCAAGGCTCACCCCCTCTGGGGTCACCCACCCCACTATCCTAGATTCCTCTTTCACCAGGACCACTGAGACATACAAGGGACTATCTGTGAGGTGACTTGTATGTAATACAGAAGGTAAAACCCAGGCTGTAAGGCAGCCATCCTTCCCAGGGACTTCCGACAAACTGTAAGTACCTCCCATCATGAAGGGAGAAGAGAAAAGATGGAGGCCTGATCACTGGGACAGAAAATCTCTTGGTGGAAATGGCAGAATGAGGGTGCACTCTGTCTTGAAGCCCCAGACAGGGGTCAGGGGTCACTAGTCTGGAGAAGGGTTATGACACTGGATCCCAGTTCTGTCCCACCCAGAACCAACTGACCAATCTCCCGGGAGTAGAGCGTGGTCTTGCACATGATTTCATCGCTGTGGCAGGTGGTGATGGTGACACAGCTGGACACACTCACCGGATCTGGACAGGTATAGCACTGTAAGGCCATAGCTGGGAGAGAAGTGATGAGAGGGCAGTGAGCTGGCCTTCCTGTTCAAACCTTCCCCCCATCCACCCCGAATGTCTGCAGGCAATGCCCAGCTCTGCCATGGAGGCTTAGCATAAGGAGGTAAGACACTAGCCAGTGGCCAGCTGCCCTCTAACCAAACTCTGGGAACATACCATGGTGATTGAACTAGGGTCTTACAGAATGTGACCCTGGAACAAGGGGCTCAGCCTGGGGCCAGGATGAGAAAAGCTGATTTGGAATGGTTATCAAAACACACACACACACACACACACACACACACATACACACACCACAGCTGACAAGCCAGTTTTAAGCAGACATTGTTAAGGCAGGAGCCCTTCCACTTCCTCATCACCAACTGTCCTCCTGCTGAAGTGCTGCCTGTCCTGGGGTCAGGCAAGCAGATCCTTGGAGCACTGGGTGGGAGCTGCACCAGGGAGCTAACCAGGGCCAGCTGGAGGGGAAGGGTGCAGGTGCAGAGCCTGGCTGAAAGGCACTGTACTCCATCTTGCCAGCATCCCAGACCCAATCCCAGAAGCTCCAGTTTGCTTGGCTGTCTCCAACTGGCCCAAGCAATCCGGACACACAGATGTCACCTGCTCCCTTCCCTCAGTGACCTGGTAGGGCTTCTGCCTCTGGCCTAGTCAATCTCTCCTTGTAAAAAATGTGTGGAACAACCTGGCTTGAACCCACACCACAACCTAACTGGTCGATGTCAGCATAAGATAGGCACCGCTTGTTCTCTTAAACCTCGAGTCCGGTGGTTTAACCCCATCTCTGGACATTTCTGGGTCTCCTTTCCCCCTCTACATCTCTATTGTACCCAGAGTTCTAGGCTATCTGCCCCAGGTCTCCCCTCTTAGCCAGCTCAAAGGCTTTCCCTACCAAATATGCCAATATCCTGTCACTCCCAGCTGGCACCTAGGGCTCTGGAGCTGGCTTCTACCTGGTCAGTCCAAGCTCTGCCTTATTCCTCTCTGAAACTCCCGATGAGGTACTCTCTGTCTGAGGAGAGTCCCGGGGAGCACAAACCCTGCCACCCCTATTCCCAGATGCTCACCAAGCTTCCCACAGGTGCTCGATGCCAGTGCCAACAGCACCATCCAGATCCCCTGCATGGTTCCAGTGTTCACTCTCACCTGCACGGTGGGGATGCCTACAGCGGTGGTCTGACCGGTTGGCTGAGCGGATTAGAGGGGGGATCAGATTTCTGGAGGGCCTGCCCTGCCTCCTCACCAACACCCCATTCTCCAGGGCACTCCTCAGGCGCCTTCCAGACCCTACCCAGCAGTCTCAGACTCCAGCTCCACCACTCAGAGCTGCTGTTCTACCCTTCCCTGGCCCTCCTTCTCTCCAAAGGATGTGGGGACTGCTTTCTTTTCCCACTGGGGGCCCACCCACACCACCCCTGCAACTCCTAGCCAAGAGAAACTTCCGGACTCCTTCTTCCCTCTTGGATAGATCAGGAGTCCCCAGGCTTCACAGAATGGGACAATGGGGGTTGAGCTCTCCTGCCCACTCCCAGCTTTCTTAAGGACCCTTTACCTTGTGGCCATCTTCTCTCTGAGCAGAGCTATGGCCTGGCAGCTCTTGGCTGGAATTTTTCCAAGATGATCTTGTCCCTCTGAGTTCTTCTGAAGTGGTCAGTGGGAAGGCGGGGTTGTACTGAATTGCTACTGACAACCAGCCCAGAGTTTGTTCTAAAGCCTAAGGAACAAAGAACTTGTTTGATCAACAGAATGGTTTCTGGAGGAAGGGTGAGATGGGGGATGCCCTGGGTTGCTTTGAGGGACACAAATTTCTGCTTCCTGGAGGGCCATCCACTCTGGGCTTGTCTGCACAACTTTGCTTCAAACGGCTCCTAGGCTGATCTCAGGGAAGACTTTCCTGGATCCATCCACTCCCTTCTAACTCCCTCCAGGAAAGGTCAAGGGGTTGGAGTAGCAATTCTTAACCTGTGGGTCATGACCCCTTTGGAAAAACCTCTATCTCCAAAAATACTTACAATCTGATTCACAACAGTAGCAAAATTACAGTTAAGAAATAGCAACAAAAAACAATTTTATGTTTGGAGGTTGACACAACATGAGGAACTGTATTAAAGGGTCACGGCATTAGGGTGGTTGAGAACCACTGGGTTAGAGGAAAGGAAGTTTCTCTGTGTGGGGGAGGGGGTGGGGGGGTTGGTCCTTGCCACAGACAAGATGCTGTGACAGAAATCCCCGTGATCTGGCAGCACCAGCTCTGTGATTCCCCACAGGTATCTCCCTAGCGCATCTTACCCCAGGTGAGATGTGTTAGAGGTGGGAGCACAGCTGCCTGCCTGACTCTTTGCTGGTGGTCAAGACCACACTGCTGCTGGGCCTCCTGGAAGGCTCTTTGTGGGGCATCCAAACCTCACTACTGTCCTGGCTTTGCTCTTGCTGCCCTACAGCAAGGGGTATCCATTCTCGCCTCTGTCCTGCCCTTCTGTTTGGTGTGCCCTTTGGAAGTCTTCACCATGATTCTTTTTATGGTCCCAGGGAGGTCCTGCTAAGCAGCTCTACTGAGGGTCTGGCTTCACCCTGAATGGAAGTCTTCATTTGTCTTAAACACTGGACCAACCACTGTGCTTCCCAGGGCTTTCCCAGATGAACATGAGTCAGAGACTCAGCCTACCAACTGTATTTTTCCTCATGACAGTTCTGGAGGGACAGACCACTAATTAATTTTAGTGTGGATAAAGAAACTAGGTTCTGAGAAGCTAATTGACTAAAGCAAGGTCACCTAGCAAGCCAGGCAGCATCCCAAGCCTGTCTGATTTTGCAAATCATTCACTACTCACAGCCGTGACCACACAGCTGTGGGGAGTGATGTGCTGAGAATTAGACAGCCCACTTTCCACCCATGTATGTCCTTAGGTCAAACCCAATCCCTCCACCGCACCCAGCTCAGTGCGGCTCCTTCCTGTCCTCGGGCCCAGGGGCTCCACCTCTGCCTTACCCCCTGGAAATATACCTGGCCCCTAGGCGTTACTCCTAGAGTTTCCACCCACACCACTGGGAGACCCAGGTTGTACCTGGGAAGTTTCCATTTTGGTATAGGGAGGAATGTAGCCTAGCCAGGGTCTGGGTTGGCTCAGTCTGGGAGGCCTCTGTTCTGGGAGGCTCACACCCTTCCCTTTACAATTCCAGAAACCTTCGGATCAAAGCTTAGTGTGTGACTAGGGCCAATGCTCACAGAGTAACCTGATCAAGACTGACGCCATAAAAGGATCAGGGCTCAGAGTGGTTACCAGGATCAGGGTTCAGCCTATGACCAGGACTCAGAATATAAAATAGGGTTGGAATCAAAACTCAGAGTATGACCAGAACCAGGATCAGGATCAGGGCTCAGCATGTAACCATGGTCAGGGCTCAAAGTGTGAGCAAAATCAGGTCTCACAGTATAACCAGGAATAAGGCATGGTGATTAGGATCAGGGCTTGATAGAAGCAGAATCAAGTGTGTGGCTTGATTCACGCCTTGTGTGTCTGGGCTAAGGGCTCAAACGGTGACCACGGAGGACTGCTACTACACCAGGACAACGTGGCTTCTCTCCTGCAGCTGCCGATACTCAGAAGTCATGCCGGAGCTGTGATGCAGGCTCAGATTTCCATCTTTTGGCCCCTCACACACTGCACAGCTACTGGTTTTCTGGGCACACCAGGACTCTGCAGTGGAGTCTTTGTCCAGAACTTGTCTAGACCTCTTCTGTCTGTGGCTGCAGCACTGATGAAATGGCTCTACCATGCTGTGGTGGACAGGAAGAAGCCTGTGGGCAGGGAGGGACTCTGAGTGCATTCATTCCTGCCTTTGCCACTCAGGGTAATGGAGACCTGGCTCTGGATGTCTGGGAAATGGAGTACTGGTTACCACCCTGGGCCCAGGATAAGCTGTGGAGGAAGGATGCTCTCTCAAGTTCAGGAAAGCCTGCCGCCTCTGCCTTCCCTGTCTGCACCGAACGTTGTGGCTCTCCCTTCATCCTCTTACATCATCCTTCAGGACCATCTGTACGCCCTGTGAGTACCTCTGCTTTGTGGACTGATGCCCTGGCCTTGAAGGGAAGGCTGGTCATGCTGGGCCAATTTGTAGTTCTGTACCCCACCCACAGCCACTAATGGTTATGCTGTCCATGCTGAGCCTCAACCCATTGTGGGAATAATACCCACATGCCTTCCTTCCCAGGTAGCCATGTCGCCATCCCACCCCCCAGCCAGGCTCTGCTTATTCCAGAAAGGCCAAAGGGTATCTTTCCTTGGACCCTGACTCTTCCGTGGGGGCATCCAGGAGAGCAGATGAGCGGTTCTTAAATATTCCCACACTGAAAAGGAAGTAAGCTCACAAACAGGATCAAGGCTGGTGCTCCAGAAAGAGACCACTGTAAACTGCTCGTCCAGGAACTTTCCAAAAGAATGCTGGTTGGACATGAGCTCTTGTGCACCAGCCACTGGACCCATGAACATTAGACATTCACAGTTTCATCCTGAAAGGGAGGCAGTAGATAGCTTCTCCACACAGTCCCTTTGCAAAGAAACATTCAAAAGAATGTTTCTAGAAGGTCAGTGTCTGGTCCCAGGGGACTTGGAACCACCCCTCCACAGGTTCACTGTCCCTGCAATCATAAGCCACCCTAGTCCTTACTGTACAAATAGTACAAATTTTTCTGGCGGTTTCCAGGAAGGTAAACATGGCAGTGATTGCGTTTTAACTCAAGCCCTTCCCAAAGGACCTATGAAGTCCTCAGAAGAAACCGTTAGAGATCACCCCCCACTCAGACCCTCTGGATTCCCAAACTGCACTTCAGCCTCCTGGCCAGCCCACCTCTTGAAAGTCTGCCTTGAAAGCTCTCATTTTGCAAATCAGTCACCTCAAACGTGGCCATGGCATGACCACATGGCTGTGGGCATGGTTGCGCCAGAGTTAGCTGGATTACACAGGAGACACAGGCATCTACAGAAGCTGCATCCGGCAAACTCTGTGGACACTTCAGTCTGTCGGTTGTGTCCTCCAGGGAGCAGCACCGGAGGCCGCCCCTCCCACAGGCCTCACCCACTGCATCTTTCATCAGGTGCTCCTTAGTCCCTGTGTAATAAGTGAGGAGGCTCTGTCCTGTCACCCCCACCTCAGAACTCCTCTTTCCTTGGCCTCCTTGTGTGCGTGTCCTCTGACCATTTCCTGTGGCCCTGCCTAGTGGGTACACGTGTACTCCTTGGGGTGGTGTGCTTCTTGGCATGTGAGACAAACACTTCCTTCTTGGTCTTCCGTCTTGTCTTTCAGTTTTGCTCACGGTCCTGTCTCCCAGGTCTCCCTGTATAACCTGGCTTGCCTGAACCTTCAGTCTCAGCCTCCCAAATTACTAGGAAGCTACCGTGTATATTATTTTACAGATTCCTATATAGTAATTTATGGCTCTCAATTTAGTTTTTGCATCTTGTTTACCTTTTTCTTTACTTCTTCTTTTTGTTTGTTTGTTTTTCTAGACAGGGTATCTCTGTGTCTCCCTGGCTATCCTGGAACATAATCTGTAGACCAGGCTAGCCTTGAACTCAGAAATCCACCTGCCTCTGCCTCCTGAGTTCTGGGATGAAAGGCATGTGCCATCACCACCTGGCTATTTTTTTCTTTTTAATTTTCAGTGGCTTTATTGGCTATATTTCACATACCTGGCAGCTCACACATTTCAAAGTGTATTGTTTGCTGAGTACGGCGGTACTCACCCTATAATCCCTGCACTTGCGTGGCTGAGAAATGATTGCCGTGAGTTCAAGGCCAGCCTGGGCTATGTAGTGACATGCTGAAGGGGGTGGGGGTGGGGAAGGCAGACTGCAGAGCTCAACAGTTGGCATAGCCACGACATCTGCAAACACCACCAGCTGGGTTGGCATGTTCCATCAATCTCCAAAAGGAAGCCCATGGGCTTAGCTATCGCACCATCCCTCCATTCCTGCCGCATTGTGAAAGACAACGCTTGGTCTTCAGCCAGGTGTCTTGGCACGCAACGTATCTCCTTAAAGCTCTCGGAATCTCTGTGGCAATAAGAGTGCCTTTTATAAGTTGATGAATGACAAGTGGATGGATGCCCCTCAGTAGTTCAAGGA